CACTCCATCTATGTTAGCAGTGAAATAGATGGCAGTCCTATTATTGACACTCCTCCTGATCTGGATATTGAAATCCTGATAGCTGTCGTTGCAGTGTGAAGCAAAAACATATTGGCAGGTTCCAGGGAAGTCAAATTTGACCCGGTCAAACGTCACAAAGTGGAAATTGCCCCATGTGGAACATTCACTTGCAGTGACTGCAGGACGCTGAACTGCAGAAGACAATCGAGATGGTGAAAACAACAGAGTCCACTGAAGCGTTTATTTACATAGCACCGAGTCTAAGTAGGAGAGACTGGAATAAGTGAGAATCAGTTCAGTCCCTTTTCCCAACTAAGACATTCAAGAGGAGCAAAGATGTACATGTACACTATGCCTTTGAACATCCCTTCCAGGAATATGAGAATGTAAACTCATTTGCCTCTTCTCCTGACAGAGCTGGATATATGGGAGCACAGAGCTTGAAGAACTATTATCTCCCGACATTATCTCCTGAAAATATTGCTTGGGTCTTTCAGCATGACTGTGGGGTCTTCTTATGAATTATGCACTGGAAGGGTCTACACTAGGGATGAGCATGAACCCCCAAATGAACCCAAGTTTGAGCATGCTGGTTAAATGCCATTGGAGTCCACCACTGACCCACAGTCCATCCAAAGGCATTTAAATGCCTTCAGAGCCCACCTCTGGGTCAGCTGGCTCGACTGAGCTCTGAGAGTGAGATGTGAAGGCCTTTATAAGCCTTATATGCCCTTATATGGGCAGGCCCATATATGGGCAGGCCCACTTCCAGGTGGGGCCTGCCCATATAAGGACATATAAGGTCTATAAAAGCCTTCAGAGCCCACTTTGGAAGCTCAGTCAAGTCGGGCCACCCAACTCGACTCATCTCCCAGAGTGGGCTCCTGGAGCTCAGCCAGGCTGGCCCAACCTGGAGGTGGGCTCCAATGGCATTTAAATGCCATTGGAGCCCACCAGCAGCCCACAGCCCCACCCGAGTATTTCAGTTTACTTACAATAAACTGAAACACTCAGGTGGGGCCGTGGGCTGGTGGTAAGCTCCAACAGCATTTAAATGCCTTCAGGGCTCAGTTCTGGGTGAGGCTGTTCCACCAGCTCCCTAACTCATGAACTGAACGAACCATGAACAAGTTCAGGAAACAGAAAAGTTAGTGTAACTTTGTGATTAAATGACCCACAAACCCCAACGAGCCACCATTTCCCCAGTTCATGCCCATTTCTAGTCTACATCCACAAACCACCATTTCCCCAGTTCATACCCATACCCTAGTCTGCACCTTATGAGAAATAGCCAAGAGATACATTGGAATTGTTGGAGATGCCCTGCCCTCATTCTATCTGGAGACCAAAGAGCTTGGAGCAGCCCATCAACCACTGATGACTGTGACAAGACCAAAGCAGCAGGATCAGGTGAATTACACCATATAACTGGTCGCTGTGCCAACCAAGCCTCTGCCTGAGGGAACGCGGGTGGGGTTGCAATTGGTGACATGCAAACTTGAGGAGGATTGACTCCTAATTGACAACAGTACTGATCGTCTTTGGGGGTAAAATCGATTAGGAGGATTAAGTACATGCATATTCCCTCTTTCAAACAACTCTAGCCAATTTTCTGATCAAGGTTTATAACAAGTAGATCGAGCAAAGGAATTGGGCCTGGGGCTGTGTGGACAGAGTATGTCCATGCAGTTCGCCATCCAGAGAAGGATACATGCGACAAAGCTGACTTTTGCATGTGTACACACTCACTGAAACAAAAGCAATGTAGGAGAATACCTTGTGATTTACAGTGCAATCCTATACAGAGTTACTCTGGTTAATACAATTGAATCCAATGGGTTTAGTATAGAGTAACTCTGAATAGGATTGCATTGTTGGTCCAACTGCTATTGGTGGAAATTAAATGGGTATATCAACTTTCTCTCAATGAGTTTACAACCAATGGATTTGCTTCACTTGCGGGTGACAGGAGGAATGGGCTTATTCTTGTGACTACTTTAGGTTTTCATAAGTATCGAGTTCTCCTTTTGCCAACCTGGCATGATGGAGCGGAGGTAAGGTGGATGGAGAGGGGGACACTGTATTACCGCATTCTTATGTAGTATTTGCAGGAAATATGCCAAAAAAGTAGGATATCAACATTCAAATCAAAATTATTTCCTACTCGGTGAGCTCTGGTTGTGAAATATTGAGAATAAGGAACTGAGAAGGTTTATTAAAAGTTTTTATAAGGTTGCCCTGACCTGGATAGCCCAGGCAAGCCTGATCTCGTCAGATCTCAGAAGCTAAGCTGGGCCAACCCTGGCAAATATTTGGAAGAGTGATCTCCAAGGAATACCAGGGCTGGGACGTGGAGACAGGTTATCAAGCCACCTCTCTGAAATGTCCTAGACCCACTAGGAATCGCCAGGAGTCACTATGACCTTTAGGCTCGCAAGCACACACACCCCAAAAAAGTTTTTATAAGGTTAATAAAAGATTTTAAAATAAGGCTAATGTGCCAGGAATAGACAGGCATCCCTGGGAATCTGATATATATAATTGCCCTAATGCGTTGCCACTTTCCGGCTCTCCCATTGGCGGTGCTGTGTACTCCATCAGCTATTGGACCATCAACTGCCAATCAAGAGTATTTGCATGTCATTGGCTGGGTACTGAGTTCGTTCCTCTTCCCCACCCACTGCTACCTTAGCCACTGTTCCCTGTCAGAATAAACCACCAAAATGACTGTGTCTCCTGATTAAGACATTTCTCCTTCTTGGCTCCTGTGGGACTAACTTTTCCCTCAGTGGCTGTTGCTAGGCAACCAAGTTTGGTTCTGTCAGTAAACAGGCAAAGCCAGTAGGCCCTATCCAGGCCTTTGTGGGGAACTCATTGGGACCAGTCCTGACTAGGGTTGCCAGCTTCAGGTTGGGAGTCCTGAAGATTTTCTGGTGGAGTCTATGTAAGCCAGGGTTTGGGGAGGGGAGAGGCCTCAGCTGAATAGAATGCTACAGAGTCCACCCTCCAAAGCACCCTCCAAAGCAGGTGAGGGCTGGAGATAATTCAGAATTACAACTGCTCTCAGATGGCAGAGCTCAGTTTCCCTGGAAAAAATGGCTGCTTTGCAGGGGGTACCCTGTGTCATAATACTCTGCTGAGGTTGCTTCCCTCCTGCTTGGGTCCCCACTGTGGAGAAAGACTACTTTTCCTAGGTAGAGGCTGCAGGTGGTGGTGGGGAGATGGAAATCTGAAGTCAGAATGGCAGATAAAGGTATGCTGATGGTTGGCTGGGAGGAGAGATAGGATTGCCACCTCCAGGTTGGGAAATTCCTGGAGATTTGAGAGGTGGCGCCTGGAGAGGGGGGGCTTGGGGGTGGATCCTCAGACAGGTATGCCATATTCTACCTTCCAAACCAGCCATTTCCTCCTGGGGAATTATAGTTGCCGATCTGCAGGGGAGGGCTGGAGATCACTCAGAATTACGACTACTCTTCAGATGGCAGAGATCAGTTCCCCTGGAGAAAACGGTAAGCTCTGTGTCATTATACCCTGCTGAGATCACCACAGCAAATTGACACTGAGTGCCCAGGGCCAGGCACCCACCCAGAGCCTCTTTCTAGAGCTCATTGTATTTTTTTCCACGATGGGCCTTATTCCTAGTGTGATATAAAGTACAAAATTGTGTACTTTTCAGCAGAGAACAAATGTAACTATCTTAATTTTTTGTTGGTGCTGAGTTTGTAAAAACTAATTTAATGTCTGTGTTAGCTGTTTGTATGCTACAAGGGCTGGCCTGAACACTAAGTAAACCTAGGTAATCACATAGGGCACTGGATTTTTGAGGGATACCTACAGTTCAGAGGACGGCGGAACACAGGAAGGCCTGGCGTGATCTAGTCCATGGGGTTGCAAAGAGTCGGACTCGACTGTGCGACTGAACAACAACAACAACAGTTGCCTACCTCCAGGTGAGGCCTGGAGATCCCCAGCTATTACAATTGACAGAGATCAGATCCCCTGGAGAAAATGGCTGCTTTGGAGGGTGGCCTATATGGCATTGTACCCTGATGAGGACCCTCCCCTCCTCAAACTCTGCCCTCTCCAGATTCTACCCCTGAATCTCCAGGTATTTCTCCACCCGGACCTGGCAACTCAAGGGTGCCAAAAAGGTGACAAGAACATCCTGTACTGGTTTGAAGGGAAGCTTAGTGTTAATTGGCTTCCAGAGTCTCCATGTGTGTTGATTCTGGTCTGGTCTTCTGTAGCAGCCCTGATGGTACATGGAGGGCTTTTGAAGGGCTCATCTATTTTTATTTTCACATTGTTCATTTTGAATGCCCACTTGTGGGGGTTGGGGGGTAGGGTTGCCAGATTCAGGTTGGAGCCTGAGTAGGACAGGGACCTCAGTGATGTACAATGCCACCCTCCAAACCACCCATTTTCTTCAGAAGAACCAAACTCTGTAGTCTGTTGATGAGCAGTAGTTCCAGGCAGGCCCGTAGCTAGGACCTTTTCAGTGGGGGGGCCCTGGGGAAAGTGGGGGGGCCGCAAGTCATTGTTCTTACCTAGGGTTGCCAAGTCAAAATAATGCCGTAATGGGGGACTCCTGGCGCGAGGAGGGGGCCTGCAAAACCCATGGGGGGCCGGGCCCCGTGGGCCCCATGCGAGCTACGGGCCTGGTTCCAGGGGATCCTCAGGTCCCACCTGGAGGCTGGCATCCTTACCAATAAGTAAAACGTTCATTCTACACTTCTCACTGTACTATTTATTGAATGGTGTGAGCGTGCGTGTCTGCACGTGCGCCAAAGTCATCATTCACCCAGGACATTGAAAAGCCTTGGGTCAGCCCTGTGAATGACCACTCTCAGTTGCTCTTAATGATATCATAATGCAATCAGATCTGATTGGCTACATCACATTGTGGTGTCCTTGCATTTATCATGGGGCCCCAGAGGGTGTGGAGTCAACCATGTGCCTGAGGAAAGCAACAACAAACAAGGTTGCCAAGCAGGATCAATAAAAGGTAAACAATCTGAATACATTTCAAGAGAAATTACTAGTTCACACCAATTGTTAGTTTTTTAATCAAAGAGACAACGGTAGAGAATATTTGGGGCACCTCTAATGCGAAATGAACTTTGAAGCAGGATCATTTTGAAATCTACAAAGCATAATATATTCATACAGTGCCGGGAAATGTAGGCTATCAAACACTTGGAAAGAATACATTCGTGTGCCCTGCACAATTGACACAGAGTACTCAGTTTTGTTTCCCATTATCTCAGAATACAAAGTACCGCTTGAGAAGCTGCCCTGCTGGAGTAGCAAAATGACTGCCCTTACATAATGCAACAAAAACACTGGGCCATCATCCAACCATAGCTGTGCACTTTTGTTTCCCATTGCTTTTAAGTGAAATAGCGAAGAATGTGTTTATTTCTCACCCACTGATATCAGTGGAACTGAACAGCACTTTAACGATGCTGAATCACACATACAGTTATTGCATTTGCAGCATGATATTATACAGACAGCCCACATCTAATATTTATAAACATCTAGATGAAGACTATGAGAAGGAGATTTTTCTTACCTATCTGTACTGGTGTTTTGCTGTCGCCGCAACTGCTGAGTAAGCACAGAATCCATAACTGGCATCCTTTCTTCATGTTGTTATAGGATATACAAAGTGGTAACACAAAAAATCTCTCAGGAGTGGATTTATTTCCTAGTGTATAGGCACATTTTATAGCCTAGTTATTCTGACTTGTAAACAGAACTTCAAGGGCAGGGCCCTTACAAGGTGGAGCACTGAAGTTTCCCCCCCCCCTTCACTGATTTATGAGGACTGAGAGGGAACTGATTCTTCTTCCAGGTTTGAAATGACTAAGGTATTTGTTTCCTGGATTCTATCATGTTGAATTTAACCTTTGGTTTCATTTGGAATCCAAGCTTGGGACTGTTTCACCTTCAGTCAGGAGTCAAGAAGCCCTTCCCTATGTCAGCTAAGCTGCCACAGAGAGAGGGAGAAGTTCTGATTGTTATGCATTCCTTCCCATACGCTTAATTGCTTCCCAGGAGTCTGAATCGCTGTCAGTGGTCCCCATCCCTATGGAAAGGAGCCCTGTGTGTCTGGCTTTCAAGAGATCGGCATTGTTGCTTGTTTATATACTCAGTTCTGCAAATGGTTCGATATCTGTACTCCCAGGAGAAATGTGAAGGCTACTCTTGGGGTTTTTTAAAATTTCACTTTCATGACTTTACTGCCCCTAAAAACCTAGTCATCACAAACATCAGATGAGGTGGTAGATCTGTGTCTGGTGTAGAACCACTTCAAATGGCATGTGGTGCTCTCGTGATTAGATGGTCCTCTGTACAGAAACAAACAAACCAACCCTCAACACAGAGTACTGGATAGAAGAGGAAAACGTTCCCTCTGAAGCACCTTTGAGCAGGAATCTTTTTGTGTGAAGGAATATTGCATCATGGATGGACCCCAACCCCATGGCAGTCTTGTGGTATTGTCCAGACATAGGCTTTAGCTGTTCATCTGCTGTCTATGAGAAACAGGCTTAACCAGGGGTCATTTCCTGCAGGAGCGCACAGGAGCGGAGCTCTGGCAGTAAAGAGCCCAGGAGGTGGGAACATGCAACAAGCCCCACCCCCTGCTCCCAGCAGCCCTCAGTCAGCGAAAGAAGCAGCCAGGTAAGTTGCAGAACCCCTGCGCCCACCCCCCCAGTCCAAAACAGTCCGGTAACACCTTTAAGACCAAGTTTTATTCAGGTACAAGCTCTCCCTCCTCTGCGAGGACAGATCTGCACGTCCTCCCCCCCAGTAGCTAGCAATCCAAAACAGTCCAGTGGAGGCTGAGCAGTGGGTGCTGCCTTCTGACACACATCCGGTGATGTCCGGGGGTGTGGCATATGCAAATAAGTTATGCTAATGAGTTATGCTAATGAGCTCCTGCACCTCTTTTTCTACAAAATGACGTTTACTATTTTTGTTAGATTTGTTCCAAAAGTGGCCCTAGACGGTGGAGGAGCTGCAGTGAGAACGGGGCATCAGGGAGAATTTTCCCGTCGGATTCTTCTGCCAGATGTTTACTCTAGTACAAGAGACTCTACTGGTGCAAGAGACAGAGGTGGACGATTTCTCTTCCTTCCCCATCCTCACAGCAGCCAGCTGTGTTGTTTGGCCTTTTGTTCCCACAGACCCAGACATCAGCTTATTGTCGGTCAAAAGAGGCTTCCGGGGGAAGGGGAACACTTAGAACTGTGTATGTGAGTTCCTCCTGCTCATGTGTCATACAATCTAAATTAGTAGAAGAAAAAGAGTGGGATTTCTGTCTTCTGCATCTGGAATCTTCTGCCGTCTTCAGGATGGCATAGACCAGGGGTGTCGAACTCATTTGTTATGAGGGCCGGATTTGACATAAATGAGACCTTGTTGGGCCGGGCCATGTGTGTCATAAAATGTAATGCCAGGTAGCGGAGATATAAACTTTTATAAAGGACACAAACACAAAGGGTTTTTAAAACTTAAAATAAAAACATGCTTAAAACATGAGCACTCTTGCAATGTTTTGTTTCTTTAACAGTGTCTGATAACTGACACCTCTTGCTCTGAATTATTGCATCACAATGTCTGTGCTGTTGCAATCTTGAGTGTGCTGTTCAGGTGTGTATCTGTAAGCTGCAAACCTACGATGACACAGCAGCAGCAGAACTGGAAGCAGCAGCAGAAGACAGCCAGTTCCACTGCGGGCCTGGTAGAAGCCCTCCAGGGGCCTGATCTGACCCCCGGGCTGCATGTTTGACACCCCTGGCATAGACCCTTACAAGAGCTGAGTGGCATGAAAGAAATACCATGTTACTGAGTACATTCTCCCAATTTTTTTAAAAAAAGTGTAACGTTTCAACAATATTGAAACAAAATTTTGTGGGGAGTGGGTGGCCATTAAGGTGGCTGGCTGCCACCCTTGATCTTAGGAGCTCTCTGTCTCACACACATATTGAAACCCGTGTTTTAGAAACTGGGTATAGACCTCAAGGTAGCTCTCTTGAAATCCAGGCCACAGGACTCCTCCCCACAGGGCTATTTTTGGGCAGGAACACACAGGAACGGAGTTCCGGCTGGCTCCCGAGTTGGCCACACCCAACTGGAACTCATTAGCATAATAGGCCACACCCAACAGCAGAAACTCATTAGGATTGGTTACATTAGGGGT